TACCATGGACTGCCAAGAAAACAAACAGATTCATCCTGGAAAGGGCTGAACCAGGCTACTCCTTGGAGGCAAGGATTCTGGGGCTTCGTCTGACATACTTTGGACATGTTTTAAGGAGTGACGGGTCCTTGGAGAGGGTCATCATGCTTAGGAGGTTGGAGGGACAGCACAGGAGGGGAAGAGCCTCTATGAGGTGGATTGATTCAGTGACTGGGGTAATCGGGATGGGTGTGTCAGAGGCAATGCGATTGGCACAGGATAGAGCAGGATTTAGGGCTGTTGTACATAGGGTCGCTATGAGTCGCAAACGACTCGATGGCACATAACAACAACAACAATGATCTTTCTATCCTGCCCTGAGTTTTATACCTGGGCAAGTGGTGGTGAGTATCCCCCTAGTTTTACTTTTCATTAGAAAGGCCGGTCAGCAGTGAAGACACCACAGGATAGTCTCCTCCCATTATGATTTATAGACTTGGAAAAACCAATAAAATGTTGCTATGAATTGGAACTGATTTGACAGCAGTGAATTTGAATGTTTTGAGCATTATGATGGCAAAAAAAAAACAAACCCACCTTTGAGCAATCAATTCACCTTGACCTGGTTAGAGTACATTCTAATTGTTGTTAGCTGCCACTGAGTATTCTCTGGAAAGTCTCCTCCCATGTAATTTATACCCTCTGAAAATTCACTACAGGATCACATATGAGTGGGTTCCAACTTGATGGCACACAACAATAACAACAACAACAACAATAACAACATGTCTTCATACGCATTACATCAATTGAGTAGATATGAAATTAACACTTATTTTGTATTTTTTACCTTTTCATAATATAATAAAAATTCTTCTACTCTCTTCTCACATTTTCTCTTCTTAAATCAACATACACAGTTTTTCAATCTACTCATTGCCAATGACATATCTCTTTGTTCTTTTGGCAGTCCATGAGATATTCAGTACTCTTCTCCAACACTACAATTCAAAACCATCAGTCATTTTTCTGTCATTTTTATTTAATTTTATTCACAGGATAAGACAAAGTTCACATCTGTTGTTCATAGGGTCACTATGATTTATACTCTTTGATAGCACCTGAAAAGAACAACAATAATATTGCCTTTGAGTTGGAACCCACTTATAGCTGCTCCTTAAATGAGTTTTTGGGAGTCTGTAAATCACATGAACCGAGACTGGCCATCTTTTTCCCACAAAGCCACTGGTAGATTTGAATCACTAGAAAGACAGTCTCTTTGGGGAATGGGAGTGGGGGATCGGGAGGAGTGGCAGTGCAACACCACTAGACACTCCAAAGTTTCATAAAAGCAAGTTTCAGTACATTTTTGCTTACACTTGAAGCCACTATATATTTCCCAATTTTGCTATTGTTGTTATTATGTACCCTTGAGTTGAAATCTACTCATAACTGACCCTCCAGTGGGTTTTCAAAGGCTTAAAATCACATAAGAGAGTCCCCCCCTTTTTTTCTGAGGAGCAGCTGCTAGATTCAAACTACCCACCTCAGAGTTGACAATGCAATTCCCTATCTACTAGGCCACCAATGCTTTTGTGTTAGCCTAAATTTGGCCTGTTCTAACCATTACCTTAATCCCTACTGGTCTCTTGCTACCTTAACTGTAGACAGCCTTGTAAATCATCTACAGCTGTGGGACTAGAAAGAGAGAGAGAGAGAGAGAGAGAGAGAGAGAGAGAGAGAGAGAGAGTGCTTTCCACACAAGCAAGACTTGAGGAAAACCAGTTCAAGACCCTGGTCAGACTGAGACCCTGGTGGCAAAACCCTGGTGATGGTGAAGAGACTGTGGCAATGATTGGAGAAACTGTGGCAAGGTGTAACCAGAGGAGCCCTGAGATAAAGGACACAGTTAAAAGTTTTGTTGTATTTGCTGGATTATTAACAGAGAGGCTGACTTGTAACTGCTCTGAGGCAAACCTTGCTGAATAATTGAGGAAACCAAAGACTTTTTGAATTTATGCTACTGAAACTGAAACCAGGACTTTTACTAAAGAATTGTGTTTTGCTCTTAGTATAGCTTGGAACTACTGGACTATATCTGAATTTGCACTGTGAGATATTCTTTGCCTCCCTACTCTACAGCTCCAGTTTAGAGGCTCCTGTGTGAAGCAGTTGGATCTAGAGGGTAGGTTTTTAATTTAATTGAAAGTAGGGTATAAACTGTTTGATCATTTTTTTAATTTATAAAAATTAGATGTAGTTAACAATCAGTTCTGGACTGAAATCCTCTTGTTTAAATCAATCAGAGCCTGGTGAGTGGACTTTTGTGTTTAAAAGTTCAGTTTGGAGGCTCCTGTGAGAAGCAGTTGGATTCTGAAAGGCAGTTGTTTTTATTTAATTGAAAGTTGAGTGTAAACTGATTGTTTTTTATTTCATAACAATCGACTGTAAGCTAACTGGTCATTTGTTAGTTAACAATAAGCTGTGGGCTGGAAGTCTCTTGTTTAAATCAATCAGGACCTGGTGGACAGGTGGGCCTTTGTATTTCAAAGCTGGTGGGGTCTGCAGTCCTCTGGGCCTGTGTTGTGTTTGGGGAGAACATTATTTTAAGTGATACAGCACTTGTCTGTCAGTTTGCTGTACGGAGATAACTTGGGGTTGCTGTAATACTGAAAGCTGTGCCACTAGTATGCCAAATGCCTTAAAGGTTACCACTGTAGACAGGGTTTGGTGGAGCTCCCAGATTAAGAAAGATTTGGAAGCAAGAATGGCATCCACTTCTAAAATAACAAGCTTTTGAAAACCCTATGAACATAGAGATAGTTACAGAACAGGGTTCAGCTCTTTTATTCATAGTGTCACTATGAGTCATACTCAACTCAATGGCAACTAACAACAACAACCTACTCTGCAATTTATTTCCCTATAAACTTTGTTCTTGGTACCACAATTGTGAGTAAAATCTGAGTTAACAAAGAATAAACGAACCTCTTGCTGTTGGTGTGGCTCTAGAGGTACCATGGGGCTGGCCTATGGGCTCTTTATCTGCTTTCCACCCTGGGGCAGTAAGATGCTGTACTACTCTCATTCCATTTGGCCCTTTCAGAAAGACACTCATGACCCTGTATCCCTCTGTCTCATTTTCTGTTCCTTTCACAAGAGCTTATATACATAAGAAGTGACTGAAAATACTATGACTTTGGTCAAGCCACACATAGTCCTGAAACTGATATTTTTGCTTTTTAACACATAAAGTGGTTCTTTGCAACAAATTTGTCCACTGCAATACATTGTTTGATTCCTTCACTGTTGCTTACATGGACATTGATTATGGACCCAAGAAAATAGAATCCTTGAAAGCTTCCTGTTTGTCATGATGTTACTTAGTGTTTCAGTTGTGAGGATTTGTGTTTCTAATCCATACTGAAGGCTTTGATTTTCATCAGTAAGTCCCTAAAGCCCTTTTCAGCAAAGTCATATCATTTGAATAATGCAGGTTATTAATAATTCTTCCTTCAATCCTGCTGCCACATTCTCCTTCATGTAGTCCATCTTCTCGGAATATTTGTTCATCTTGCAGATTGAATAAATATAATGAAAGAATACCACCCTAATGCACACATAC